TTAAAGATTAATGGCTAAAATGACTCGTGGAGACTGGAAGGGAACAGGCCCAGGCTGGCAGGGGGGAATCGGGACTCGTGGGAAGGGGGCCGGGGGAATCGGTAGGAGTGGGAGGGGACGCGGGGGGAATCAAGTCGGGTCCGTCGGGGGGGGAGGGGGGCTGGGAGCCTGGGAGGGGGGCCAGCCGACCAGGGGAAATCATTCAAATCAACACAACAATCAGGAGTCGGGGGGGGGGGGCGGGGGGTGGTCGGGGGGAATAGTAGGGGCGGGCCATGGGTAGCCGGGTAGTCGATTTTTTCGTCGGTTAGGGGGGAAAGGATTCCCCCGACAGTTGTGAAAATAATCGTCGATTACAGTAACCGACGGCTGGGTCGGTTGGACGGTTCCAACCGACCGTTGCTCACTCCTAATAATTTTGAAGGATTTTCTTACTTAGAAATTCACAATAAGCCATTTTTTTAACATTCTTGAGATTTCATCATTGGAGAATTTTCATAAATTTATCTAAATTTCTAATTTTTAAATGACCCAAAAAATAAAAATAAAATAAAATCAAAAAAAAAAAAAGAAACTCACCTAATTGGGATGAAAAAATCAAAAAGAAAACCAAACTAATAGGCCAAGATTACCTACATGGATTCACGTAGATTTAGATACCAAGCATACACTATTAAGAATGATGAACTCTTTCTAAATCCTATTCAAGAAACTAAGACACTTTTTTTGCTTCTCTTTTTCTTACCTCTCCCTTTAATTAAGATAGTTTTTTTAGAAACTAAATCGATTCTCCTAGATCTAAATAGAAATCGAAACCCAAGAACCCAAAAACTAAAAAAAAAATATTTATTTCTCTCATTTTCCAATTGTTTCTTCTCAAATTTCTCTCATTTTCCCTTGTATTTTGGTATTGATGCTTAGGAATATTTAAAGAGCATTTATAGCTGCCCCTTTTTGCACATTTCTTGAAAATAAAAAATCATGTAAAGACGTGGACACCATTTTGGCCAATAATTTTAAAGAAGGAAGAAGCTCCTCATCTAGAATGAAGCTATATAGCTTTAAAGGAATAAGCTCGTCATTTGGATTGAGGTTACGTAGCTTTAAAATGAATAACTCCTCATCTGGAATGATGCTATGTAACTTTAAAAGGAATAAGCTCCTCATCTAGAATGAAGCCATATAACTTTAAAAGGAATAAGCTTTTCATCTAGAATGAGGTTATGTGATTTTAAAAAGACTTTTCATTTGGAATAAAGCTACGTAACTTTAAAATAAATAAACTCTTTATTTGGAATGAAGTTATGTAACTTAAAAAGAATATAACTTTTCATTTGGAATGAGACTACGTAATTTAAAAGGAATAAGATTCTCATTTAAAATAAGGCTATGTAACTTTAAAAGGACTCCTCATTTGAAATGACGTTACGCAAATTTAAAAAGAAATAAGCTCCTCATTTAAAATGAGGCTATGTAACTTTAAAAAGACTACTCATTTGGAATAAGACTACATAACTTTAAAAAGAAATAAACTCTTCATCTGGAATGAAGCTACGTAACTTTAAAAAGATTTTTAAACAAATAATATTTCTGAATGCATATGATGCAAATTGCTATCATGGCATGCAAATGCTTAACTAATATGATGATGTCATGCATCCATATTTATATCTTTTCAAAGGTCCTCAAATTCCATTGTTCATTCTTTCACCTATCTTCTTTAATCAAATCATGGTTTATTCTTGAAATTTCTACATTATGCTGAACCCTTCTTCTCTTTTAAATGCTTTTGCTTTTCTTAGTCACTAAGAGATTAAGGCCATTTTGTTGGTTTTTCATTTGTCACTAATTGCTTTCCCTTCTTTTTTCAATGATTTCAATGTACGTCATTAATCCTTTGCTTATTATCATTTCAATTTAATGACAAATACAATGCATTTTCAAAACTCTTCAATTCATGGTAAAATTAAAAATTGATGGAAAAATAAAGGTAATTGGGGGAAACAATGTATTTTTTGTTGCAGTCCTAAGGAAAATTACAATTAAGAAAAGAAATTATGAACTGGGATAGCAAATTTGTATCCAAATAATGAACAGTCAAATGACTTCTAATTGATTTAAGATTCTTTCTAGAAAGAAACTCATTCTTAGATGTCCTTGATTTTTCGAGTGCATTTGATCAAACCTTGCCTCTATCTTGCCAACTGTTTGTGCGAATTTCAATACTTGTCCCTTATTCCATGTGTCTCTTAAATTCATACCTAGGCCTCTTTTTTAGGTTTTAAGCATAAGTGTTCTCTTTCTTGTGTCTAAGCCACCCATTTTGGGTTTTCAACTTAAACTTGCCTTTTTTGTTTTTTTAACTTTTTCTTTCTTTTTTTTGACTGATCGTTCCACCATGCACTTGAAGAATTCAAATTTTTCCCATGATGAATAGATGAATCTTAAAAGAAGGCTTTTTAATTTAACTATCCATACTTGATCCAAATAGACTTTTTAGTATGTAATGTAGTCTAGGCTAGGGGTTTTGAAAGAAACTGTAAATAGGTCCAAAATCTGTGTTTAAGAGTAATCAAACCAAGAATCATTTCTTGTCAGGTGAAAAATTCTCCTCAGGGCCTTAGTCTTTGTATGTCTCTTAGGTCTCTTTTACCTTTTTCTTGCTTACTTTTTCTTTTTTATCATTTTTTTTGTATGATGTTGAAACCTAATCAATACAAGGCATTTTTACCTTTAAGTAAAACCTCTATCATTAATCCTTCTTTGCATTTGCCCCTCAATATGGAGGGTGATCCTTGGTTAAAGTTCAATTTAAAAAGAATTCAATAAGCTTAAAAGGGATAACAAATGGATAATTTAATATTTGTGAAAGGAATCTAGAAAATGGCCATTTGTCATCTCAAATATGGTTACTTTCATTAAAGAGTAATCTTTAACGACTTTCTTTCTATTTGCATCTCTCAAACGCATGATGTTATCATTAATTTTTTTCCCTAATGTTTCAAGCTTGATTCACCTCAATTTCTACTTGATTACTTTACATTGTAGCTTCAACAAAAACTTGTGTACCATGACATTTGTGCTAAGTCTTAGCATGATCATGCGAACACGTCCACATATTTTTGAGAAAATGCCTTTTTGTTGGTGATAATGACATGCCAATCAATTGCTTCAATGGCTTCTTCATGAGGTGTGATTTTTCATTCTTCTTTTTAACTATTTGTAGCAAGTCAAGAGACAAAGTGTAATCGTCTGCATTTTCTTTGTTTTTAAGTTCATTAATGTTTGTGTTCTTTCAAAATTGAATCTCAAATTATTATCATTGTTTTCACATTCATTATTCGAATGCTTAGAAATGGGTAAATTGAAGAAATGTGGGGATGTATAATGAAATTAATGCTTGGAAAAGAAGATATGAAAATGCACCATGTCACAAACTATGCTTCTTTGCTTAAGTATGCAATGATCCATGTGTTGCTTGAATGAACACTTCCACACAACCCAACGAATCACTTGATTATATTTGAGCAAACATTAATAATAGCCACTAGTTTGTGAAAATGTAGCATTTAAATCATAAGGCATAACAAATGCCATGTACGCAACCACTGAAGCCACATAAAAAAAATGTTTTATTAAGATCAAGATAAGTATAAAAGGACTAAAATGTGCCATTTTCGGGCCATTGGAGCAAGCCTAGATGGTTGGTTACAAACATACCTTTACCAGTTAGGCAACCTAACAATCCGTCGACTACTTACCTTCTATAAAGAGTTTACGAGATTTTATAAGTATATCTTCAAAAATCATTACAAGGTATGAGATAGGGGCATTCTTTTCCTAAAAGGTCATTCCCCCTAAATACTTGACAAGCATTTCTAAAGACACCACCAAGTGCATTACAATGTTTAAAGAGAGAAAATCTCCCCTAAAGGTACAAAGAACTTAGTCTTCTAGACAATTCTACCTGTCATAATCCTATACGAAGTTGGCTCATGAATCCTCCCCCACTTGATATGTCGACATCCTTATTGACTAGTTGACTTGAAACTCTTCAATGTTTTGCTTGAAGGCTTGAAGGTCAACTTCCTTCTCCCAAGTGATTTTTTTTGTCTTTTTTTGTCCCCAAACCTTTTCATGTCAGCAAGTACTCTTATATTGACCGTTCATTGATTACGGTCATTCTCTTTGCAAGAATCTCCCCTGCTTGGCATTGTGATGGTAGTTTAGTGATGTGTTGTCAATTTTAAACATGCAAGTATACGTATCGAACAAGTAATATAGTGATGAAATAAATTTTCGTTCCCACGAAGATTTATTTTTAAAGTTTCACTAAGTATTAAAATTATAAAACAAATTAATCTTATTTAAGTAATTCAAAAATTGAAGAAAAACTAATTAAAAATAATTAAAAATCAACACTAAATAAACTAACTAAATAAGTTGGAAAAAACACTATATTAAAGACTTAAGATTTTGAGTTCATTCAACATTTCATCTGATATCAGCTTTTCTTGTTATTTATCTTTCCTGGATGGTTCTGCTTACCTAGAATCCAAAGCTATGGATAAGTTTCCGTCGAGTTGCTTATACAAATACCTAACTTAATTAGTTCACTATCTTTCTATAGGAATCAATTAAATTAAATTCATTAAGTGTCCTAATATGACTATGTATGACAATTGACGTATGTCAACCTGAATCGCGAATCAGATCACCTAAGTGACGTGAACATACACTATTTAAACTTTAGTTCAATCTAAAATCTCTTTGTCGAGTCTTAATTAGATTCACAAATCAATTAATTGTCAGCCAAACAATCAAAAGCATTAAAAACATATTTAAATAAGTAAAACTACACTCATTCATGATAAATAAAAGAGAGATTAATATTCATATTACATATTGAAATCCACCACAATCCTATAAAAAATAATTTAGCTCATAATAACATATAAAAACAACATCCAAAAGAATTTAACCATGAATCTAAGGCAAAGAAAATAAGAAAAACATAAAAGTAGAAAAAGAAACTAATTATTGAAGCTTTATAATCTCCATTCTCTCTCAAATTCTCTTGTTTTCTTGCTGTGTTCTTGGTTCCAAATCTCCAGAATAGTTGGTTGCTGTCTCCTCCTCTAAACCTCTAACAAAGCTCCCTTAAATAGGCTCCAAGTAACCTAATTTTCAAAATCTTGTCAATTTTTTATTTTTGAAAAATCAACCAGTGCTGCAGCACTACTTCTTCAATGCTGCAGCACTGAGCTCTTGGGAAAATGTATTGTGTTTCCTTTCTCCAACACTGCAACCTTATTCTACTAGTGCTACAGCAATTTATCAACTTTGAATGTGATTTTCACCCGAATCTGGTCCGAACTAGGAAAACTGAAAAACATAAAAGTTGTGGCTCTATCTTTTAGTTTTTCAATGAATTAAGAATCATGTCAATTGGACTTTTGGATTGAAAGATATGCTCCAAATACTACATCATGCTTAGTCTCTGTGTACGGCTGTAGTACTCCGACTTAGACAAATATTTTAACCGTGATCCAATCCGAACTAGGTAAAGTAGTAAACATAAAAGTTGAAGCCCTTCCTCTTTAAAGTCTAATGGTTGAAGAATCATTGCATTTGGAGTTCTGTAGACAGAGATATGGTGAAAATACCGCAACATATATGAATAAAACCATCACCAGACTTGCACAGATTTTTATTAAATGAGCCTTTTTCATTAAACTCCTACAAAAGTAATAAGAGAAATTACCAATACTGCTCTTAAAGTAATTTAAAACAAAATAACATAAAATTTAACTAAAATAACATAAATTAACTACTCAACATATAATCAAACTTAAATTAGAAAAACACTTAAAATGTTACGAATCAAACATAATTTCAGTTAAAGATCTTTTCTTTAGAGGAAGGAGCATTTCTAAAAGAACACAAATAATTTTCTTACAACATAATTTAGAATTCTAGAAGGAAAATCTTCAAGAGTTCCAACTGGTCAAAAACTCATTAAATCTGACCAACAAGATTATGTGTGATATAGTAAGCTTTCTCACAATTGCTTATGTTTGTCATATGAATTCAGTTTCTACATTTCCATCAAGTTAATATTCACAACTAGACAACAACTTTGTTGGTAAGATTAACTTTGATTTCATTTACTCTAATGGCTAAGGAAACAAGACTAGACCAAAGACACATAGTAGTACTGATAAGAATGCAATAATGGAAAATCGATAAAAGTTTCAAGGCATCCAACTTTTGCATTTTCCCTTAATGATGATGAGAACGATAATAATTCCTTAAAAATTCAAGTCACTACCAAATCAAACAAGCCACAAGAAAGGTAACCTTTGCAATATGCTTAATCAATTTTCATGGTGAGAAAGAAGGAAATTAAGGTGATGAGACAAAAGAACATCCACCACCCAGTTTCTAACATAATAATACAACAAGTAAATTTACTTCATAAAATGGTTGTTTCTTGAGATTAGTTAATTTCTATTCCAACATTATGTAAACAATTCGTAAATTGGCTTTTATTTTAATATTCCATAATGGCTAATAGCTTTGGTACAAAATTTTTCTGCTAATAGCAACAAATGAATCTCCTAATAGTTTACAGTCATGATGAAATTCGTTGCATAAAATTTAATTAACACATCAATCCATTGTGCCTTTACCTTTTGGACTAAGTCCACCAGTGGTTCATGTACTTTTATCAATTTTTTCATATTCATCACTTGATTTTTATTTCTCAAATGTACTCCTAAACTAATGAAATTGGTTTAATCAAGCAACACTGTTAACTTCATAACATGCTGTTAAAACCTGCTGGCATGGCATTTTGTAATAAATGAGGTAATGCAGCAACCCGTACAAAATTAGCTCCAAGGTGCTTAGCAGACAAACTAATTAAAAGCTTACAAGTTAATACTTTTTAAAAATAGTTAACAAAGTCAAACTTGTTTTTTCTATTTTCCCTCTGTTGATTGGGCAGTCAAATGGAGCTTTTCTTAGATATTATAATTCTACTTTCACTTTTTCCCATAGTTGCTAGGCAAAAGGTCTGCAACTAGGAGCATTTCAAGGGGGCACAACATATTAGCATTTAACTTTCTTTTTTTATGGGCAGCTACCTAAGGGAGCATCAGCAAACTTCATTTTTTATTTTTTTACTAATGCTGATGGAGAATGGGAAAAAAATGTTTCAACAAAAGATTATAGTTTATAATTTTGTTATATTTTATGAGTTCAATTCTCTTTCACTAAGGGAGAGAAACCAAAAGAACCAATAGAAGGAGAAAATCTCAATATTCATCACCCAAAACCTAATCAAAACTTCAACTATACACACACACATATAAAAGCTAACCCTAAACCATATTAAATTACAAAATACCAAATATTACCCTGAAATCTTAATAGTTGAAAAAAGCAAAACTAATTAATATAAGCCTAAATAAACGAAATCTATGTAAAGATGACAATTGAACTCTTAAAATATAACAAATTTACAAACTGTAATCTTTAGTTCAAACTTCTCCTTTCTAAGTATTAAGGTTTTAAGGTCATATTCAGTACTTTCTATTTTATTAGGGTGTAGCTTATAAATATCTATGTTATTTTGGTTTATAAGGTTTTGGATGATAAACATTTGAGATTAAATATTGAAATGTTCTCCTATTGATTCTTTATGGTTTTCTCTCCCCTAACTCTTTTACTCTCTCCCTATTTCCTCTGTTTCTTCCTAATTGTTGCTGGATATCTCTGATTTTACCTCTAAATTTCTACTTTGGATCTCTTTCCTCTATTTGTTCTACATCAAACGTTGGCCTAATCAGCATAAAAAGCCCAATCTTGTGTGTCAGGCTGAGTCAGCATGCAATAGTGCTCTTGATATAAGAGTATAGCCTAGTTCTCTCAGTACAAGAGTATGTGTGTCTAATCCATTGCCAACTTAGGACGCAAGAACCTAGGTAGTCAAAACATGTGCACCTAACTTATAGATCTCTACATCCACAGATAATCTTGAAAGTGAATTCTACCTTCCCCGTAGGCCTGAACTCAACATTTTATTAAACAAAGTATTGACGAAAGGTAAGAGAAATAGGAGAAAATTGATAACTCTACCAGCAAAAAGTAGTTTCAGGACTATGCATTTGGAACTTGATCAGGATTCCCTAAAACATATGCATGGCATGGGTATTAAAAGTATACCCTTCTAGCGTATGACAACGGCTATTAAGATAACCCGCATGATATATCACAAAAAATCTGTTCAATGAAGTCCCGTAGAAAAGGTTTCTGCATATAACAGTGAATTGATAGATATTGTTATGAACTAGGGTCAACTTATGTCTAAAAGAACTAAGATACAGGTGATTCACAACCACACTTCATCACTACTTGCAAGATAAATTTAAACTGGAAATTCATAAAATTCTAATTCCTAGAAGTTAGAACAATGTGCAAAAATGAGATTTGGTTGCATAATACTGATATGAAGAAGTTTTCTATATAAACACACTAATGATCATGTAAAATCCATTTAACGTTAAGAGAAAAAGGTCTAATTGAGTGAAAAATAATAGCTTTTTTTTAGCTTAAAAGTTATTATGAAAAATAATAACCTTTAAAATTAAGCTAAGGTTGTTTGGTAAGCCGTTTGGCAAAATAAATTATATAAACTCTAATCTTGGTTAAAATTACCATAAAGGGTATCTATGCCATTTTCAATCACTGAATAAACCAAAACGGAACAAGTTTGCTTGGAGTTTATATACGATTTCAGATATTAACATCAAAAAATTTCATACAAAAACGGAATAGCTCTTAAACTTTGTGTAGTAGTAATAGTATTAAATTTTTGTTGATCTAGCAAGCCATCGAACCATATTACTTCAATTCTCCAATAAAGAAAAGAAAAAAGGAAATGATATGTTTCACATTAAAATCATTTTTGGTGAAGAAGAGTGAAAACCTTTAAATAATACCTATATACAACTTTGAATTTGAGGTTTTCTTTCTCTTAATCTTTGTAAGAACAAATAAATCTCAGATTTTGCTATTTTGTTGTCAGATCTTCTTTTTTTTTTTTCATTTTAGTGGTCTTTTTAGAAAAAGATAAAGGAGAAAGATATCGCAATTTACATTGGCTAAGGGTGATTTGCAGAGAGAGGAAGAGGAGAGGGAGATCGATTGAGAGAGAAGGATATTTTTTGAAAAATTGAAGTTTTTTTTTTTAAAAAAAAAAGAGAAGAAAAAGCTCTTCTTTGGACCTTTTCTTTAAGTTCTCTTTTTTTTTTAATTTTGTTCTTTAAAAAAAGCTGCTTCTCAACATCTTTTTTGGCCTAACTTCTACTTTTAAGATGATGACAAGCTAAAAAAAACCAAACTAAACAAGCACTTACTAAGTGATTGAGTATACAATGGAAATTGGAAAAGATACTAATATAATTTGAATGGAAGGGCAAATATAAGTTTCAAACTAAAGAAATTACTATTCATGGATTATGCAAAATTAGCTCTCAAAAGGAGAATTAGAAGGGTCGGCTTGAGGCTTTTTGGCTCAAAAAATGTCTAACATAAAGAGAGCTGTAAACCTCCAAAATTATCTTAATAAGATCCCCTTTCAAACTTCATTACCTCACATAGCTGTAGAATTATTCTAATCTCCAATTTAAATAAAGTTGTATAATTATTGCCAAAATTGACTTTTGTTGCCTCCCAGGACTTTCTAGCTGGATGCAATCAGACAAGTAAGAACAAAAGAAATATCTACTTGGGTTATATACCAATTCCCTGACTTAGATATGCCTACACAATTCCTAATAGCATAAGCTACAATGAAATTCAGATCCATTGATCAAATTTTCCCAATGTAACTCCATTAATCAATTTCCATCTCGAAACACAAATGAAATCCTTTGAATGCTAAGTGCAAAATTCATGTCACACAAATTGTATAGACAGATATGTATTCAGAAATTGTAAAAAAAATCATAAACAAACACAACTTCAAAATGCAAGCAGCTTTAGCTAAATCATATGGTAAATTAGACTAAGTTTGATTTACTTTTGTATTCACAAAACAATTTACCTTTTGCTTTGGCAAAAAAAAAAATGAAAAAACCTAGCAACTTTAAGTTTTGATTGAGACTTACAGTCTAGCAAATTCGATGGCATTACCACTGACACCGAAAAAGCAATCAATGACAAGTCCACCACAGTCACATTTCTTGTTATGCTTAATGGCTATCTCTTCTGGAGTAACCGAATACCATCCATCCTCGTCCGTTTTAATTGCTTTATCATACTTTTGAGAAAAGACTATACCTCTGAAACCAATATTTCTTAGTCAAGGGAGTACTAATTCCCTTTTCTTTCCCTCTCTCCTTCCCCTGTTTCTTCTTACCTGCAAACAAAAATTATTCACAATTATTTAAACTTTAGAAAAAAAAAAAA